TGTGTGTGTGTGTGTGTGTGTGAGTGTGTGTGTGGGATCACTTTGCAGATGATTAAATCACCGATGTGATGTCTTCCTGTTCACCAGTGTGTATCCCATGTGTAGAAAACCACACATCCAGACTCCGTTTAAAATCTGTCTAGTTGATCGTTTCCTTTTTGTTTTTAGGGGCGTGCATTCTCTAAACTGTGACATATGACCAAACACTGAATCCCTAGTACACGGAGAAAGATTCTGCATGAATTGAATCCCCCATCTGCCTGTTATAATTCTAATAAAACGTTTAAACTCTATTAAAGCCCAACCATCCTCCCTGACTCTCTGCGTCATGCACACTCTTTTTTTTAGTAGATTAGGAGTTAAATAGGACATGAGCAGATTGTCTCCTGTATGATCACTGACTGAGGCCCACAACTCAAAAGCTGCCTCTTAATAAAGAAGAAGAATCCCACTGTGAAGGCCTAACATTCAATATGAGGAAAAAGAAACTGTCCTCTTGTTGGTCTGTTTGTCCCAACATCTGGATGAACCAACTGTGTTGCGTGATCCTAAATCACAGTTTTTCTCTAATGTATCTGCGTCCACTAGTTGTTCACGAGGATTATTTGGAGTTTAGCATCTGTGTGTCTGTCCGTCTGTGTAATTTCTCAGTGTCCTCTCTCTCCTCTGTGCCTGGCAGCAGCAGCTCTGACCTCAACGTCTCCACTATGTGGGTGAGCGATGGCCTGCCGTCATTGTGCATGCTACAGTGAAAGAGACAAGCCTTATCAGAGCTGCACTGGGCGAGACGTTTATGCAGCAATGCATTTGTTTTCTAAATATAAATTATAAAGCAAAGCTGTAGTCCAGAGGAAAAAAACCCATCCCTGATTAAACATACATTCAGCCTTGTCCTCTCTAATGGATCTGTGGTATTAGGCATTGTCACTTTGTGGGAAGAATCTGGATTTACAGTGTATGACCACATATTAAAGTTGCAGTAAATCATGGGTTATTGCTCTGTACAAAATAGAGCCCAGATTAAATCAGCCGGCAGTCCGTTTTCATCGATCAACACGTCTGACTGTGAAATCTTTCCACCGGTTGGTGAGATTTTCAGATTCCTGACCTCTTCATTTCCAGCCTGTCCAAGGGGCAAAAAGCTGGAAATGAATATGGCAAAGTGCCACCATCGACTGTGCTTCTTGTAATGTGACAAGTCCTTGTTCAGATAAAACCCCTGATAAAATTCATAGCTAACTAAATGATCCATGTCAGTGTAAAACTCAAATCTGTCTCCTGAGCTGCAGTTGGTGAGAGAGATTTATTTTTATCATCCCTCCAGGATTTTGGGATTACACCTCTAACATGTGAAATTCCCTTGTGCAGTTTTCTTTCAAATTTCATGTTTGATTGTTTATCATCATGGCAACTTCACCTTGCATCCGTCACCATGCCTGCTCATACACACACAGCCTGTAAGCACATGCATCCAGCTGTACGTTAAACAGGATCTTCAACTGTGGAGTCTCTGAAATTGTTTCGCTCAAGACGAGATAAGATCTGGCTGAAAAAAACACCTTCCACAGTTTGTTTATTGTGCTTGGTGACCAACCAGTCTATCCGTTATATGACGCCTGAGCTTCAGCAGTGAAAATCCTCCTCACTACATTACTCATTGTGCAGTTTTTGTTGTGTTTGCTTTCGAACATGGCTCCAGTGTTTCGTTTAAATCAGCGCTGAATAAATAACCTGACACCATGTTCTGTTCTTCGCAGGTTCATTGTATTTGTAACGTACCAGATGTACTATGACTACCCACCTCCAACATACCTGGAGTATCCGATCCTCATCGCTCAGGGTGAGTCGTCTGACGTTATGTGATGTCCTTCAAAAGTGTTATTTTCAGATTTTACGTCAATTTTTAATAAACACATTTATTGTCACTTCTATAAATTACAGCCAATTTACATACATGCAAAATATAATTCTCTGCAGATCTTTTTTCAATCTAGACTCCTTGATTAGTGTTATTAATGAATAGTGAATAATGTCATATTCAGAATAAGAAATGATCAAATTAAGACATGTCACACACAAGACACACGTCCTGTTGTTTTTTCTCAGTATTATTGACTTGCACGACAAATACCAACTTCCTGACGACAAATACCAACTTCCTGATGACACATAAGCACAAACAGGGAAATGTATTTGTTTAACCCTCCTGTTATTCTTAAATTTAGGGAATTGTTAACTTTGAAATGAATGTTTTTTCTTTGACTACTTAAATAAACCTTTAATTAAAACACAGGCCTCCACTCACCCCCTTATACATCAAGAAAACCTATAAACTATAGAAAAAAATGCAAATCACCATAGATATTACTTGTTTTCAATGGATTTGTGTTATTTCTAGATACACCTTTTAGTTTTTTATAATAATTGGGGGGAAAAACAGTTTTTATAAAACCAGACACAATTTTAAACATTTAGAAAGATCTTGTTTTTAAAGCATCAAAGTGCCAGTTTTATGCCAATCGTTCATTTTAATGTACAGGTGACAATAAATCAACAGATAATGTGCATGGTTAATCAATAACTGATATAATGTGAGAACGCCATAGTCATATGTATAGAAACACTTTATAGAAAGTCTACAGACTGTGTTGAACTAAGTGAGCACCACAGCAACCGAATATGTTCCTGCATCAGAGCTCAGTTTATATCAACCCCACATCTCTGACATCTTAACTCTGGTGGGGTCACATGTCACTCCTTCAAAAGCAAATTTGAGTTGTGTTAACTATAAAAAATGTCTTATGAACAATTTAATGAGACAGTGAAAACATATAACAGTATATCAGTGATCCATGAATGAGAAATTCAAAGCCAGCCCTGTGAAACGTGCAGTCAGTCGTCATTAACCCTGAAGAGCTCAGGGCGTGTTCTAACCTGTCCTCTGTCCTCAGACGTCGTCCTCCTGCTCCTTATTCTTCACTACAGCGGCAGCCTGCAGCAGAGCCTCATCTACACTCTGGTGTATCCTTCCACCGCACTGTTTCACTTCCTAATAGCTGATCATCGAAGAAAATCAATGACCCGTCGGCCTTTGCTGATTTTTTCTACGTCACGTGTTATTGCCTGAACATAATGTGTGCAGGTTTGTCGGAGGCTGGAGGCTCCTCACCGTGGAGAAGTGGATCATAGATCTGGCCATGGTAATAAATCAGTGCAACATCAATCTTAAGTCAGCATGTCAGAGAGTAAGCAGAGGGACGGTGTGTCATCAGTCAGGGGTAATGAGGCGGAGGCTTGAACAGAAAGTTACCCAGACATCATTGCACCTGCTGTATCCCAGGGAGATGTCCAGACCTTATAAATGCCAAGTAGTCCTGTTATTTGATGCTGTGAAGTCTGGAGGCATTTCCACATATCAGTGAGAGCAGTGACCTCACAACACTTAATTCTCTTCCAAGTTTTTAGAAGCTACAGAAAGTTTTAGAGATTAAGCTCAACTCAAGCACTGCAGGTCATATTTTACTGAGACATCAGTAAAAGGTCTAGCGTGCAGGATTCAGGCGGCTCTATCAGCAGAAATGGAATATGATATTTATTATGATGTTTTCATTAGTTTATAATTTAACACCATTTGACTTCTTTGAATTCAAAGTCTAGAAGCGCATCAGACCGCGTGAAGTAGTTTGTATCATGATCCAGCAGAGGGCACTCACTGTGAGCGTGACCTTGCATGCTCCTATCAGTATTGTCATGTTGTTTCGCTATGAAATTGGAGGAGGCTAGCAAGCAAAGCCATCGTGAGCAGACACCAAAGCATGTGACAAGCAGCTCTAAACTGCCGACGGCAGCGTAACAAACATAGGTGAGGCTGTGTGTTGACTTTGAACCATCTGTGGGCTCACCTGTTGGATTTCCACACAGCGAGGGCTGCGGAGGCTCCACACACAAGTGGAGCCACATCTAAAGTGTTCAAACAAACTGCTTGTCATGTCAAATTCATTGAACTTGACAGCTTTTATCAGTGTGATAACAACTACCTAGAATTTATTTGACTTTTTAGTTTGACCCATGCCCCTTTAAGTAACATGGAGGAAGCAGGATTTATGACCTATACTGCAGACAGCCACCAGGTGGCGATTGAGACACTGGCTTCACTCTTGGGAAGCTGTCACGTTGTCCATCTTTTATATTGTCTGGGGTTCTAGGTGCTTGGAGAGGGAAGGTGACGTGAGGAGGTGTTGAGTTATTTGCATTAGTTCAGTCCTACACACTGAAACAATGCTCAGACTTGATCTGCGTGTCTTTCATGAGATGTATCCAGTCTGACCCCCTCTCTCTCTCTCCTCAGAGCCTGTGCACATTCATCAGTGCAGCCAGTAAGTTTGCACAACTGCAGTGTTTGTGGAGATCCAAGGACGCGGGGCAGGTTAGCGCCCTCTCCTGGGGTATGGCCACCTACACGTGTATGGGTGAGTGAAAAAAAAAGCATCTAAACAACAGTTCAAATTTCCAGAATCAGGCCAAAGTCAATATCAATAGTTAAGCTGAGCTGTAGATCAGTTAATAAGACTTTGAAAACCAGCATTTATCTCCAATATTCAGTCTGTTTGGTGTATTTGTTACAGCAGCAGCTTTTCTGGTTCAGCAAGCAGGGGATCATGGGTAATATCCACCAGTCAGTAGTGTTTCAGTTCACTGAGTGGGACGAAGCCCAATAGAATGAATCACTGTGTGACTACAGAGGGCGCTGTTGCACAGTAGAAGTTACATTGTGTTGCTTTAACTCTAAAAACAGATAAACACTGGGCTGTAAATGCAACTGTAGAGTAGGATGAGGCTCTTTTATGTGTCCACATCCGCATTTGAAACATGATTGTAAAAAATATTCTTACAACAGCTTTACATTTTTATGTAATGTCATGGAACTAAACTATTTGGCAAGTCTGGAAAGTTTAAATAAAAAAATCATGGAAGGCTTTACACAAGCACTTTATCAATTTATGAGACTTTCCCCCTTCTCCCTAAAGTACTGTAATGTTTAACTTCATGAATATGTATTGAACTATTTACTCGGCTCCTAATTTAATAAATTAGCAATTCAAGACTTCATTAATAAAATATCAGGCTCTCTTGGATAATTAGGAAGTCATTAACTCGGCTGCCTCTTTGTTTCAGCACGGATCTACACCACCACGGTGACAACTGGAGACACGCAGGGTAAGAGACTGAATTAGAAATGACTGGATCTGACGCATTCCACATAAGCATCCTTAATAGTCTCTTGAAAAAGATTTGTTCTCTAAATATCGACAGTCATAATTTTACATGAGTTAAAAAATGTTTTCATCTCATGTGGTTCTGGTGTTAGCTTTAACTCGGGGGAGAAAATGCTGTAACCTTGCAGTGTCCAATATGAAGGAGGATTTCATACACAGTCGGTGTTTCTGTGTTCAGTTAAAGTTTTGATTTTCATTAAAGGTATTTTTTTTTTTTTACAAAAAGTAAAAAGCGCAGCTGAATGGGAACCTGGATATTGATAAAGGCCAATGGAATTCTTTGCATGCACAGTTCAGCGAAGTACTTCCTCTGGGAACTCACAGGAAGTAGAGTAAAAGACGTACAACCAGGTCAAGAATGTGAGCGGCCACTTCTCAAAACAGTACGAGATGTGAAAACTTTGGCTTCTTCGATCTGTATTTTCTGCAGAGGACAATCTCATGATTTAACAGAGTGACTGAAACTGTTAATATCTATTCACTAGTTCCACAAACCTGTCTTTCTGTCTGTCTATGTGAAAATATGGCAAACCCTTCATCTCGTCAGCGTCACACCTGCCATGTGCATTGTTAAGTGCCCAAGACAGTGCAGTGCGAGTTTGCTATGGTTTGGACATGCGATACTTGGATATTAATAAAAATGGAATACACAGGCGATCTGCAGCAGTCAGTGGGGGCGGGGCAGTGAACCTTCAGTCTGAGGACAGTCGAACATGTCCTCTTGTACGTCATTATATAAACTACAGCAGCAGTCAGCAGCTGTGTTAGACCAGATCATTAGAATTTGACCCAGACTTCTGCTTGTTGATCTGTCATGGCAGCAAACTTCCTCATTAGCAATATGTTTTGTTGCTGCAATGCTTTATTTCGAGCTTTTATTTTGAAAAGTTGTGAACTTCGGTATGAAGCTTGTGTCGATTCCTTATGTGAAAAAAATAACACCTTTTAGGAACAATATTTCAAACTTGTATATAAACCACACATGTGAACAGTAATGACGTTAGTTCAGTTTCATTGTATGAAAAACATTGACCATAAAATCTTCACTGCAGATAAACCAGGTCGGATGAACACAAAGTTTTCTGACTTCTCTGCACCACAGATCATTTATAGAAACCTCTGCACACAACATTCATCATCCATTCATGTTTCGACCGTCACTGCACTTTAAATGAAACCCTGTGACCATGTTAGGTTTTCATCAGAGGCAGAAACGTTCACTTCAGCAGCTTTTCACAGATCCTCCATTTATCAGCACAGTTCAGTGCATCGATGGTTCATGGTGAACACTTCCCATCGTTTTTTTTCTGATTAACTCTGCCTTTGTCACAGTTCTGGTGCGGTTCATCGTCATGACGCTGCTGAACCTGTGGGTGCTGCTCACCGTGCTCCACTACCAGAGGCGCAGCCGCGGCTCCAAGAAAGACGACTGAGGAGCTGGATCCCGAGTTTATTCAGGGTTACTTTGGAATCAGGCCCGCATCGACAAACGTGACACCGACAGGTCACATCAGTCGTGCCAGATTGGTTTGGAATTCTTTCCTAAACATGTGCTTTTGTACTGTTTTTTTATCCCAGTGTTTAACCTGCACATTTACTTATTAACATTCCAGTGACTAGTTATCTTCTACATCTGTAGTGAGAACAGAGAGCAACGATTCTTACTGTTAGTGTTAATTATTGATCAGCAAGAGCCAAGGACATCTGAGATCTTCCCACTCAGGACAAGGAATACTGTATTTTAAATAGTTTTTATAAATGTGACGTTCATTTCTGAACTATTTTAATAAATCAAACATTTCAAAGTGTTACACTGTGGTCGTACTTGAAAATCCTGGAGAAATAATCTGAAACCAAAAGGCACATCCATGTCTTTATTGTTGAAGTGGTTATTATTAAAGAGCTGTTTGGTAGCAAACATGCAATCTGGATGTAGAGCCCTTAAATACAAAGTGGACAAGGCTGTATAAATAATATCATGTGCACTGTATGGCATGTAAAATATATACTGTGTATATTTATAGGTATAAAACATGCTTCTTGGTTAAAGGAGAGCACTCAGCACACACACACACACACACTCACACACACACACACACACTCACACCCACTCACATAGTTTACTCTCCAGCTGCTATATAACCCACATACACACAACAATGTGCCCAAACTCAGAGTTTGGTTACTTTTAATACAAAAATATCAGGACAAACACTTAAAAAAAACGTTCAATGGAATAGTGCTGCTCAGTATTTGGACTGATGGGACATGTTTGCATACCTTCAATGTTTCTGCTTCTCTTTGATAAATTCCCCTCGTTTCTCACTGTGAGGAATGACTTAAAAAAAACTAGGTTTAACAGGTGGAGGCCTGTGGGTGACAGCACTCAAGTGTGAGGCCTGAAAAGGCAAAACACATGCAGGTTCACTCAGAGCAGTTGGTGATGAAAGGAGGCTTCAGTCAAGTATATTTGGAAGTAATACAATGCCTGTGTGTCATCTCTGGTATATGCCCAGATGTACATTCAAAAAACATCAACGGAGCCGAGCTCGGATCAGAGAAGCATGAACGGTGCACCCCCCCCCCCAGAATTCAGTAAACATCAACCCTCAGAGCCCACAGTGCAGGTTTGATTATGGGATTGTGAGGATCTCCATCTAATGCCATTCAGAGCAGGATTGTGTTCACTTGTAACCGTTACTGGAGTCACGACAAACGACAGCAATCCAGTGATTCAGAGCGCGCCACAATCAGAAATCTGAATGAGAGGCACTCCGGGAGTAGTCTGCTCGAATCCGCGAGGAATCACACACTCCTTCCCCCGCCTCGCTGACTTTCCCAGAAGTCACAGCTTGTTCGCTCTTAGTACCTCATTCAAGTTTCTGCGACCCAGTGTGGACACGCCCCTGAAAGCAGAATGGTGAGAAGCAGGAAGCTACAATCAATGTTAAAGAGTTTGAATAAGTACAGATACTGTATCTGGGATCAAGCTCAACTGTGGGTGGACTAAATACAGAATTTACTATCTTCTGAGTGTAGTGTTCCCCCATTAAAACCGTAACAATCATTTAACACACAAAAATGTCCTTTTTCTTATTTGGCCACGAGATTTCCCAAAAGCGGAGTCGAGAGTTTTCCTGCTGGGTCCTTAACTCAGGCAGCGTGTCTTGGTGAGAAGTGTTGAGGTAAGTATATCCCCTTCTTGTCAGCCCTCGAGTCGAGTTTATAAGAGCTCTCTCGTGTTGTGTGGGATCCGAACGTGCTCCTCCAGCTCCCTCCCCTCAGAGACACTGATTTGTTCTCGTCTCGGCCTGGGAGAAGACTTCAGCTAATAATTCGACGGCTGAAGTTTGATGAAAAGGGAAAACAGACTTTGTGACTGTCACAGGCTGAAGCAGGACAGGGGGGGGGTGAGGGTTGTGGAGAAGTGATGTGGAGTTCAGTGTGCTGGTCTGCAAACAGAGCTTTGTATACACAGTCTTTGATTTAGGAGGAAACACATCCCACCACCTCGAAGATGCACCACACTCCCAAGCAAGGTTAACTGGAAGAGGAGAGACAAACAGATGCAGGGTTAGTACAAGAATCTTGAAAGAGAAGTCAAGAAGATTGAAGATTCAAATGACATCAAGTAAAGAACCCTCCATCACTCGTTCTCACTTTCATCTGTCTTCAGACCTTCTACAGTTAATCTATGAACTTGATTCCCTGGTGTCTTGTTGACAGGTGTGTAATATGTAAGGTCTGGACCCAAGTCCTTTTTTTCATAGACACCATGTCAATACTAACGTTGAAGTGTGTAGAATCTGATGTGAGAGATTCTATTTCTGGCCTTGATCAAATTACACTTTTTAAGATTTCAAGTACAGTCCAACCACTTCAGATTTTTTTTAGGCCAGTACTAATATTTGAGACTCATATTAAATAAATATAAATTGAGAAAAATATAAATTATTGGCTGAAATCTGTTTAGATGTCCTTGGTTGCTTTCCTTTACAAACATATCAGCCAACACATTTGTAACAAGCTAAACCCACAGGTATATCAGGCTCTGGTGTAATAGGTAGAGATATAGTATATTTTATAATTCATCAATTTTACTGTAAACAATTATAAATTAACAAAATGTTTAAATCCTGAGAAGATGTAGTCACTTGCACAAATATTAAAATTGAATTGATAAATGAACCTGTATAGAAGTGAATACAAATCTGTTTTCCCCCAGAGCAAAATGCTTCCCTGTCAAACAACCAGTAGTGAAGTGACCCCAGTTATCAAGTGAACAGTCAAATGTGTGTGCGCCACCACCACAAACAGACAACCAGGACTGTGTCCCCACATTCACAGCAAAAACACCTCTTCTCAGGAACCAAGTTGTTTACAGGAAAACATGTGACTGAAGGAAGCAAAGGAATGGGGAAGTCGTTATTGTACCAGTGTCCAGTGTTGGATTCTCCTCGCCTCATTTTGAAGCCGTTTGACCTGCGAGGGCTGAGGTCAGAGAACGCAAGGTCACATCTGCGAGGAATTTTTAACATGTCAACAGGACACTGTGACCGGAGGAAGGCAGCTTTAGGAAAATCTAAAATGTATGTTTCTGTAGCTGCTGTGGTCAGACATCCCCCTGAAGACAACATTACTTTTAGGGGTCTCACGTCAGAAAACAAGGCTGCATCAGGAGTAGGTTTTCATTGAAAAATGGCGTTTCCAAACTAAAACTGCACTGCCACTGAAATCACTGCACTCACTGCACACAGTGTTACCACATGTGGTCTCAGAAATGAATTGAGGAACAGTCATCCTCGATTTCATCCAACGCCCAGTGCCAGTCCTGGAGACCAAAGTCGTCCAATCTGAAAGGGGAGATGAGTTTTGATGGCCAGGTAACAGTCACTGCAGATAATCTGTTAATGCACTCAGTTCTGGCAGCCGTTCTCATGTCACGTAAAGGGTGGTCCTGAGGGACACAACAACACTGGCCCAGGGACGTGTGAAGAAAACATCACCCACAGGAAGGAAAAAAAACAAAAAAACAACTGATAGTATTCCTACCTTTTAAAAATCATGGCAACATGAACACTGCTTTAGGGGAACGTTTGACCTTTCTGGTAACAGTGGCCAGTTTTTCAGCGTATTCAAAAAGGACAATCTGATCCAGAAAAGAGAAAATATAATACTAAGCTGTCAGAGTAGAATTAACCTTGACCAGAGGATATAACCCCAAAGAAATTAACAACAGCAGATGGAGTATGAACACAAGAACAAGCACAGGATGTAGTGAGAGTATCTCACCTAAAAGAAATAATGGAACATCATTACGTCAACTTTTAGGTCTTTCACAGCCAACAAATGCAACACTGATCATTTACATAATATATATGTCTTTAACTAAGAAGCAAATGTGTGACCCCTACACCATTATACCCTTATAGATGGTTTTATTTTGTAGTATTTTCTAACTTTTGTGTATTAGAAGATAAAATATATTCTTGGCTCACTACTGACCCCATGTGTAATCCAACATAAATGCATAAAGGACCAATATCAATCTGGTGAATGTCACTAAGAAAAAATATTAGTTTTAATTTTATTTATTTATCTCACAGTTTGTCTAGAAAGAAAAAAAACCATCCAGTCTCGCTCTCCTCTCTGCATGTCTACCTGCTCTTGCTGGTGGGGATCTGTCGACTGGGCCTCCTCATGGACTGGCTGGGCTGCACCTTCATGGAGGCGCGTGGCGAGGAGCGTGCAAAGTGCTCTGGCGGCGGAGGCTTCTTGGGAATCTTCTTGACCAGCCGGCTCACCCACTTCTGCTGCTCCTCCTGGGACACGGCGAGCAGCAGCAGGTTTTTGGCCGTTGACACATCGTAGTTTACTAAGGAGAGGAATTTTCTGTTACCCTTAGTATCACATCAGTCTCTATAAACAGATTCTGCAACGATGACTTTAAGGCTGGAAGCATTCTGGTTTCCGTTTCTAGTTTGCCCAATCAGTAGGCTTTGGTTTCCCATCAGTAAACAATCTGTGTGGAGAGCAAAAGAGGCTGAACACATTGACCAAACTACATCGGCTACCATGTTTTTAGTTAATCTGAATTCATATGAAGATAATTGATAATACAGATTATCTTAAATGTTGCCTGGACCTGTACCAGCGACAAAAAATGTAATCTGTGTACTGAAACATTCAACATGTGTGTTAAAAGAAACTACAGGGAATATCCACTATCTACACAGGAAGCCCTACAAATACTTGTTATGTTTTATATTGATTGTTGCCCCAAAAAGCAAATTTGTCATCAGACGACAGCCAATGTGCTCCAACATGGTTAGAAAAACCTTATAGCTGCAATTATGCAGCACCAATCTTAGTTCAAAGACGGACCTTCTGGTGGGAACTGGGTTATTTCTGTGCAAATCCTACCTTTGCAGGGAGCAATGATCTCCTCCTTCTTGTCCATGTGGTCCTTGTGGCACTTGATGTGGCAGCGCCGGCACTCCAGAGCCGGAGGCGGCTTGAACATGTTCCACAGCGGCTTGGTGCAAGCCTCGCAGTTGGTGGGGAAGTGGTAGAGCGTGGGGATGAACTCGTGGCCCTTGTGGCAGATGTAGCTGGACTTCTCTCCAATGGCCAGCGGCTCCACAGGAAACTCAGGCTCCTTTTTGCTCTCCCCTTCATTGGCATAAAGAATCTGGGGAATATAGAAGATGAGGACGGAGGGGTTTTATCTAAATGTGTGCTGTTGCCACTCAAAAATCAATCAAACATCATATATTGTTCAGAGGTTTGTAAATAGTACACAATATTTATTAGGTGTCTACACTGAGGCAGAGCAGTGACTGACCTGGAATATCCTGGGAATCTCTTTGGCGTCGGCGCGGTACACATCGGTTTGAGTGACAGGCCTCACATGGAAGAGTTTGCTGTGTGATGGAAATTAGTCATGTTATATCTTTTTCATCAAAACATCTATTGCCTTAATGCAAACTGCTGCATCCACATAAAGTGGAAATGGTGAAAACTCAGGTTTCACACTCACTCTATATCCAGCACCATGTAGGGGATGGACTGCTCTCTGTCCTGCTCACTGTTGTAGAAGAGAATCTTCTTGCTGCTCACTACAACGTACTAGAGACAGAACAGATATTGTAAGAAAACATATGTCTCAAGGACAAGATCTGCTGTAAGCCAACAAAACTGCTTGCTTAACTTCAACCGTACCTTTTTCACCCATCCAAACTTCTTGGTGTTGTTTCTCACAGGATGAGAGAGCCAACCTTCAAGTCTTGTTTCTTAGTGACAGAAGGAAATATTGTATTTAAGCATATTGATTTCTGATCTGCCAGCTTCACTGTAAATTAGAAAGGCAAAGAGGTAAGCTGCCTTTATTGCTGTTTTTGTAATTGAATGGGAGCTCGACTTTCACGTCATAGGAGTGAACTGGATGTTTGCGTAATGTTTTGTACTTACATGGATCTAAACCTGTATATTAAGGCTGCCCCCTGAAAGTCAAAGATCGACTCATGAGTCGGTCAACGCTTATTCGACTGGGATTAACAACCGTCCTGAGAGATCCGATCACAAGTGGCCAGCGCTAAGTAGGTCTGTTCACACCTGACATTAAAAAGCATCCTGAATGCATCCCCTGCTACCACATTGCAAATAATCACGAATGTCATTTGATTACAAAGACCAAATTATGTTGTTTTACCCAGTCTGAGTTTACAGACATTTCCGATGTCACTGTGTTTTTGTTGGTCGGTGTGTGTTAAGAATCTATTTGGGAAAAGTATCTGTATTATTTGTGTTGATATTGTGGCCACAAACAAATCTATGTTTGGACACTGCCGAGTAAAAATGTTTGATCACTGTGAAACTGTAGCGGGTCAGAGGACAACAGCAGAGTAGGCGGTCCTTCATGTGTTGCCACATTTGCGTTCACAAAGCAGAAAGAAAGTGGCCACATGCGTCTGAGACCACCTACCAGTGTGGTTTGAGTGATCTGATCATCGAACGCATTGATGCAGGTCTTAGCTTCTGTTTTTATCAATCAGCATGCAGCGTGGTGCAGTGTACCTCAGGGGACATTTCAGTATCTGCAGAGTGAGTGGGGCTTTCACGCTGCTAAAACACATTTTACAGCAAATCTATTCAGTTTACACAGTACGAAGCTGGGTTAATAGATTGGATGGACATCTTTGAGAAGGCTCTTACCTGTGTACGCATCATCAGTATCAAAGTCTGGTCCACTGCTGACACTGGCTGAGTCCATTGATTGAACGCTGAGCGACTGCAGGAGGTTCCTCAGCTGCTCGATATCGCTGTCCTTACTGTCCAGGGCCATCTGCAGCTCGATACGCATCTGGCTCTCATCGGCCAGTTGCTGCAAAATAAAAACAGCATCAGACTCAAGGTCCAGTCAAAGACACAGGAGAGGACAGGAGACACTATGCTGCACAAGTTTGTGTGAAGACAGAACACTAGACTGTGGCTGTGCTACCTACCGCTTGCATCTCATTGATCTCTCTCTGGTATTTGATGATGGTGCTGTTGAGCTTCTCCTTCTCCGACCTCAGCTCCAGCTGCAGCTTCCTGTTCTCCTTCTCCTTTCGCCGCATGTCTGTGTCATTACCACGGCGACTGCCTCCACCACGGACCTCCTTCCTATTCATGATCTCTGCCAGCTTATTGACGGCCTGTAGATGGACATGAGTATGACATGGTATAGTGCGGGGGTTCATTTTTTCCCCCACTTTTTAGAAGTACAACCTATCACGGTCTCAGTCCACTTCTCTCTTCCTGCTCTCAGCTCATGATAAATCACCAGCGTGATCAGCGAGGGCTTAAAACAGACTCACCTGAGTTTTCAGCGTCCTCTCAGACTGCAGCTGCTTCTCAAACGACAGCTTATTGTTGGCGATCAGTTGCTCCCAGTCCTTTGAATTATTTGACTCTGAAGAAACCAAGATACAAAAATGAATTTCGACAATAGTAATTAGTTTGTGTAGTATTCAAAAATAAAACATTGTAAATACCTTCTATTGCCTCCTTCAGTTTGTTGTTCAGCTCCTCCTTCTCATTAGCAAGGTTGGCGACGTCACTGGTCAGGGTGCGATTGGCCTCTTCCAACTGCAGCAACAGACGGGAAATGAAGTATGAGCCACATATACACTGTCTGCCACTGCTGTCTGTCCAACCCCAGCACTAAAACTTATTTCTATTTCCACTGTGTCTTTATAAAGCTTGACTATGCGTCTACCTACGTGAGTTAGAGGTTAATGTGACTCACCGAACTGATGGTGATGTCCTTCTCGCTGAGCTCTTGGCGATGCCGGGCCATCATTTCCTTCAGTTCCAGCTCCTTCATTATTTTCTCCTTCTCCAGGTCGGAGTACTGCTCCTCTGCGATGGAGCGCGCCAGTTGCTCTGAGTCTGCTTTTGTCAGAGTGATCTCAAGCTGAGCCGCCAATGAGTCCCTGGAAGAAATCGTTATAAGACTTTTTAAAAAACAAGGACTGAACAATTACTAATCACTAACATCGAACATAAACATGTCAAGAGTTGTAAATTAACTATGGAAGTAAATTATGAATAAATTAGTCTTATTTGTTTAAAATGGATTTAAGAGACAGTAAAAGCACCTCTCCTCTTGAAACTCCTGCACAGACTGCTGAACATCTTTGTGGAGTTTGTTCCTCTCCTCACACTCTTCCTTCAGTTCACGCACCTGGGTCTTATACAATGTCTGAGAAACACAGGAAACAGATGAAATACACCTCAAAATAATACAGTAACATATTATTACACACATGTCTGCACCAACAGTCCACCACTGAATGTTCACTACAGCAAGGGAAGACAGAGTTTCTTAAATTAATTTATGTTGTTCATGAATAATAATGAATAAATAAAGTGTGTACAGGTGATTTAATAAACTAAAACATCTGAAGAAAAATGGAAATATTTGATTCAAGTTCCTTTAAGCATTCGCATAATCAATTAACACAAATGAATTATTTTTATATTAAGCTTTATTGCCACCGTAAGAACAAGGAACATGTGTAGGAACTGTTTTCACATCAGAGACCAGGGTCTAAGGCAACTATGCTTTAATTTGAAAACGGGGGTCAACAACGCTTGTGAATGATTATCCATGTTGCATTCTACACTGGTAGCCGGGGAAATGCTGGTTGTTTTCTTCCAGAAGGTATAGGAGCCTGATGCATCAGCAAAAGCTACGTCATGGTCAAAAAGACCTCATCAGCAAGCGGATGCGAGTATCTTTGTCATTGTTTCCAAACATCTAAAACTCAGCCCTGCAGTTTTGAAATTAAAACAGGGCCAGCAGGCGTTCTTTATTTCAAACAAATGTTTTAGAGGTTGTAAAACTCTGGGGTAGAATGGACATTAGGCATATCCGTAGAACATTTGATGCATTTAAAAAAAATAGTAGTGTGGACTCAGCCTTTATTAAGTACCAGCGAATTGTTTTACCCCCGAAAAAGTCTCTGCTCAAGAGGTGGTACTATAAAGTAGTTGTAGAACCATGATGGGCTGCTCTTTTTCATTTTACATTTGTAAATACAGAGTAGAATAAAGACTCACAGAAAAATACTGTTCGGCTTCTAACTGGTCCTGTAACTCCTTCATTTGCCCGTCTGTGTCCTGTCGTTCTCTGTAAACAAAAACCAAATCATTATTCACCATCCTCGCACAGGCAGCACATGATCGCTTGAGAAGAGAAAAGTGTGAACAAAGAGAAAAGTAGAACGTAAACTGACTTGCGCAGCTCCTGATTTTGTTTCTCCAAGCTGCGTTTTATGTCCAGCAGGTGGTTGGTTTCCTGTTTGAGCTGTTTCTCTGAGGTTTTCAGAGCATTGAGCTGCTGGTTCTGAACCTTCAAGTCGTTCTGAGTCAGGGTTCTCTTCTGGGTCTCCTGCTCGATCTTCAGGGTCAAGTTCTTCACCTGAAAGAATGGAGAACATTTTTTTTTTGTTGATAATACTGAATATGCTTTTGTTATAATTATATTATAACCTACAAACAGTTATTCCTCTCCACTTCAGAATTGACAAGATGTTACAAGTGTCATATTAGTTTTCTGTAGGTGGCATTTAATATCTACACTTCACTGGTCTGTTGCACAGAACCCTCACCTCCTCAGTGAGGCGGTCCTTGTGTCTTCGCAGCTCATCCAGTTTCTGTAAAGCCTGTTTATAGTCACAGTCCATCATGCTGCTGTGTTTCTCCAGGTCCAGGATTCTGTTCTCCAGACGCATTTTGGCTGCTCGCTCCTCCGCCAGCTTCTGCTCCATCTCTGCATCACAGTTGAAGACATGATAAGATGGTGAGGAAGACACAGAGTTTCTTTTTAGGTTTTTACACTGTGACTAATGGACTGCTGGAACGCAGACATGCTGGGAAAATAATGATATTAATGTTAATATCTGTCAACATTTTCCGAGGGAATAATTTTCGAAAAAATCTGGCATATTTAGGGAACTGATATTTCTGAGTTTGTGAAATTTGGTGCAGTTTGATTGAATTTAAGTAGACTATTGGGTCTTGTTGGAGGTATGCGCACTACTGAGTGCCTAGTAAATATATATTAATATCACAATTTTAATAACAATGCCCAGTGGATGACCAGCTTCATAGCAATACTAAATGATATCAATAAACAAATTAAGAGACAAGAATTTAAAACTTTCCTTTTTTGCACGCATGAAGTAAAATCTTCAGTAAAGTCCGGGATCATTTCAGGAATTTTAATTAACGTACAAATTCTGTCTCCTTCACAAGATATATTGCCTGTTGTGGTCCAAACTGCCATTAACACACTGTTGAAGCAAAGAAGAGAACATCGTCCAGGAAACAAAAGGTCAGCGCCCTCACCCTTCATGGACTCTGACTTGGCGCCCTCGATGGTAACTTTGATCTTGCTCTTATCTGCCAGCATTGCCCTGGTGGCCTTATGAGACGTCTGCTCCTGCTCCAGCTCCTGCTGCAGCACCTTCAGCTTGTAGGTCAAATCAATCTCTTTGTTGCTCTTTTCCTGGACAGAGACAGAACAAGGAGAGAGATGATGGGATGAACTCAATGACACACCAGAAGCAATTTATCTGGGCATCACAGAAACACTAACAGACTTTATATGACATCAATTTGTTATCATAT